TTTTAAATTATGTGCCAACATTTAACTTATGAAATATATAGTTACTTAACTGGATTTCACCCACAAACACACAAAGTACTATCACTTTGAAAAACTTTGATAAAATACCTTTTTTTTTCCCCCATGTTCATTTTTCATCTCATTAACAACCTCTGCTGGAACATCATTATATTACAGAAAAACAGGAAGTAAAAAAAAATAAAAATAATAATCCTTATTACTTTATAGTAGTCAGACAGTTGGTGAAGTGAGAATCTGTTCAGTGGTATCTTGGTTGGAAGTAAGCATAAAGTTACAAAAGGCAGAAACTTTAAAGGTAGCATAATGTCCCACGATATTAAAAACAGGCACAATAACAGTTGGATATTTTCTCAAAGTTGCACCTACAAAAAAGTAGTGCCAAATATCTTATATTTTCATCTTTCCTTACAGGGATAGGAGAAATAGTCATTTATGTTGGATATCAGATATTTTTGGATTTGATAGTAGATGTGACCCATACAAGTGTGAAGTACCATTTCATTATAACATAGAATTAAACTAGTTACTTTATTATTGTTTTTTTTGAAGTTTTAATAAGATGTGCAGTTCTGCATGAGTGGTCATTGCAAGCCCTTTAAAGAGAACGTGGCACTTGGCAGCATGATGCAATGCTTTATAGCCCTAATCCCCTCCGAAACTGTAGTTTAGTCACTGCTGTCACAACCATGTCCACTTATTATATACAGTTGCAACACAAGGGGTGGGACTGATGTTTATTTAAACTAATAAATGACTATATATATATATTATGGCTACCAGTTCTTCTAAATTATGCTATACCTATTAAGTCCAATACATACGAAAGTAGTGTCATGCCTGAATAATATGAAACACTTATTGATAGAAATGATGTCTGCTTCATCAGAAGATTAATATTTGGTCAGATCCAAGTTGATTGGATGTCATCAGATTAGAAATTTATCCTATCTCTATTTCTTGCCAATAGACCAAACTCATAATACTGTAGTACATGGTTGCTTTAGTTTAGCATTAAAGTTAGGGAATATTTCCATTATTTCATTTCCATAGTGCATATTGGTGTATTGAAGACATATTAATACTAGGAGTAAACGACCTTATAACACCAAAATGTTGTTTTTATTTCATTAAACACTCAGTGTTTCACTTCAGGAGCATTCACTAAAACACAAACCGAAACTTCAAAAATGGGAATATTTCTATCCTTTCTAAATTTCATTTCTACCATTACAATAAGTTTTTCGTCCTCTTTATTAGTTCAACAGCACAAGTTTTTAACGTATTACAAAGTTCTAATACTAATACTATTACTATTAGCATTAGTAATACTACTAATAAATACATGCCTTATATTCCATATTATATTTCTAGACTCTTATGCTTTCACCTTAAGCAAATTAATATTCCTTCTAAATTAAATTTCATTTTTCAGGTAAAGCAGAAATTTTGACAAATTATAGCTCAGCGTTTGGTTCAAGGACGAACGTTTTTTTTACATAAGTGGGCCAATAGCGGTGGTACTATCCCACTGCCACTCGTATCAATAAGCCTACTGATACACCGAGTTTAATAAAAAAAAAGTAGGCTTAAGAGATATTATAATTTTATCGAGTTACAACTTACATTAAGGCTTAGGACTTTAGCTCCAGGAAGTAACCTGAATATGCGAGATTAGGTTACAATGCAGTATATGAAATTCAACAAGAAAAAAAAAACATACGTACACAACCATTCCATATGCTCCTTCTCCAATGTAAGCTAAGTCTGTATAACGTGGTCCAACCTCAAAAACCTGACCCTTAACTGTTACACTCAGCTTCTGATCTTCCTCTTGGAGCGCCATTTTGTACGGCTCAAGCCTAACTTTCCTTTCGTCACCTATTGTTGTCAGTGGCATTTTCCCAGAACCTTTTCAATTTCTTAAGATTTTTCTCAATTATACTATTTATATATTTGCGGTACAATCTAATATCTTTTAGAAGTTTGGAATGCATATTATTTTAAACAAATTTAGATCATATCGTGAAAATCTATTACATTAATTATGATGATATTTTCTATTGTATGTATATCCAATATAATTAAATAAAATAAATTTTACTATGTACGAATTAAACATCCTTCGGAACTATAGGTTTTCTAATTTCCGTTAACAAGCAGACTTTTACATAATTTGTTACAATTTTTTATTAAAATTTATATGTATGATTAAATTTTGAAACCACCTTTAAGTTGAAGTTAGGTAAAACAAAAGTGATTTTCAATTTAAATGTTATTGAAACTTAAATAATAAAACATAATCATCTAACCCCCGGTAGCCCAGTGATAAATCTGAGTGTTTATATAACGCCAAAAATTATCGAGGTGAACACACACGGTGGGCAGAGCAAAGACATCCCATTGTTAAGCTTTAGGCTTCATAACAAACAAACAAAATAAAGCACATATTAAACGTTTTTAGTTATATTGGCGGTACCATTATAAAACTTCTTTATTATATCCGAATAGCTCCTGTCGAAACTTTGTCTTTTTCTTATGTCAGTAAAATGTTTTTTATAGGAATAAATCTCCTGATATCATTGAATTACTCAGTAGGAACCCCAGTCGACATTAATATCTTTAGGGGGATAGTTCATAGATATTTTGAGACCAGGACTCACGTTAGAAGAATAAAACACAATTTTAAGATAATTTCGCGACTCTTCGCTAGTTAGTTGAAAATTGATATCTTTCCACAGTGTTATATTAC